GCTGTTTCTTCAATAGCATTTGCTTATCAAAAATAATTAGAGGTAGGAATGCTGGAACTGTGATTATGAAACAAATGGTAAATCTATTTGCTCAGAAGAAATGTATCGAAAGATACATCTAGACACAGCTGGAGACTGAGGTGATACCACAAGGATAACAACTCGAGATCCAATTTCATCTTTCATGATTAAAAAATGAGCAAGAAAGTGTTTTATGAAATGTGAAGGTTAACAAATGTTCCTTCACAAGCAATGACGACAGTTTATCTTTCGAAACAAATGATCAGGCTATAGTCTGCTAGCAGCTCCTGAAATCTACTCCAACGATTTCTCCTAAAAAACCCACAGAGGACCAGCGCCCGCAGCCAGCAGCCCACCCACCCAACCCCTTGGGCAAAGCCAGCTCCAGAGCAGTGCTGGTGGTGTGGGGCAGGAGCCAGCCCTGCCCCTGTCCCCGTGCTCTGCCCCATGGTGGGGCAGAGGTGCCCAGGTGGCCAAGAAACCCAACGGCATTCTGGCTTGTATCAAAAATAGTGTGACCAGCAGAAGTAGGGAGGTGATTGTGCCCCTGTACTCGGCACTGGGGAGGCCACACCTCGAGTGTTGTGTCCAGTTTTGGGCACCTCAATCCAAGAGAGATCTCGAGGTGCTGGAGCGAGTGCAGAGGAGGGCAACGAAGCTGGTGAAGGGCCTAGAAGACAAATCCTATGAAGAGCGGCTGAAGGAGCTGGGGCTGTTTAGTATGAGGAAGAGGAGGCTGAGGGGAGACCTCATCACTCTCTACAACTACTTGAAAGGACACTGTAGAGAGGTTGGTGCTGGTCTCTTCTCACAGGTAATTAGTGACAGAACGAGAGGGAACGGCTTCAAGCTCCAACAGGGTGGGTTTAGACTGAACATTAGGAAGGAATTTTTCACTGAAAGAGTGGTCGGGCGTTGGAACAGGCTGCCCAGGGAGGGGGTGGAGTCACCATCCCTGGATGTGTTTAAGGGCCGTTTAGATGGGGCACTGAGGGATATGGTGTAGGGGGGTACTTTGTAGAGTAGGGTAGATGGTTGGACTCAATGATCCCAAGGGTCTCTTCCAACCTCAATGATTCTATGATTCTATGATTCTATGGTGATGACAGAAGTCCAGAAGCTCATCCCTGTCCCCAACACCCTCCCGCAGGAGGGGTGGCACGGGCAGGGTTCCAGACCTGCAAATTAACCACCACTCCAGCCGAATTTTTAAGCTGCCCAAAGTATTCCAGGAGCCCTCTCTGTCTATAGGTAAGCACCTATACATTGCTGCCTCCATGGAGACGAGGCAAGCAGGAGCCTGCTGCAGGCTCCTCGATGGAGACCGAGCAACGGGAGGGCAAAGAAGGTCTCACCAGGTATTCCTAAATGACACAATCAGCTCACAGGAAAATTCAAAGAAACATTGGTCTATAAAGAGATTATGAAACACCCATTTTTTTTTTCTCCTGGTCATTACACAGCAATACGCCTTTCAAACGTCAGCTATAAAAGATGCATATATTTACATTTATGGGTGCAGAATCAGCCTAGCTTTTAATTTTTTCACATGACAGTTGACCTACTAAATATCAGTGCAATATTCACTCTGTTCTCATTCAGAGGCATATAGAGGAAGTGGCCAACAATAAATTCCTTTGACTGTCCTTCAGATAAAGTACTCCCTTTATGGTGCGAGTACTGTGTGAAGTATGAAAACTTATTTTTAGGAATGAATTCTGCTAAAATTTGACTAGTAGAACAAATACCGTGAGTTGTTTAATGAGGAAAAAAAAAATGTGGATAGAGGCTCTAAAACTACTGAAGTGAAGGAATTATATAATGATGGGAATGGGTAATTCTCCAAAAAGAAAAATTCAAATTACCAGGAGTGAACAGAAAGTAGAGAAGATGGTGATAGCAACTTTAGTTCCTTCTATTAATAGAACTAACAGTTAAAATTGAGAGAGAAAGAAATACTATGTGTAGAAAGCAACAGAAGATGTTTTAAAGTAAAAGAAAAAAAAAAAAGCTTTATACTTCCACAAAATATGGGACTCCATAGCGATGTCCTTATTCCTATCCTGGCACCCTGAAAGGGCTCCTTACTATCAGAAGAACTGTAGAAAACCTATATTTACTTATTAGTGAGAATACAAAACATCATAGCTGTAAAGCTGGCTAAAAAGCTGAATGCTAATTAACAGCTGCATTACAGAATTAACATTATTCCTTCCTACTCAACCTTTGGTCAAAGTTCCTGGGATATGACAATTATATTGCTCTTCCCAACAAAATATTTCTAGTGGTCAAAGCTTCTATAATGGAGTAAATTCAGACAGGGGAAAAATATTTAAAGTAAAGGCCACATAAGCCTTCCCTCCACAATTTAACTGTGCTGCGCAAGTAGCAACAGACTCCCCCCTTGGTGGGTTGGGGATTATTCTAACCCAACAAATGGAGGCAGGGGGGTTACAAGACCCCTTTCAGGCACAGAAGAAGTTTGTTTCAGAGAAGACACTTAACTGCTGCTGTGACAGAAACTGTGTGGACGTGGTCAAACACCAGCCCCAACTGTTGCCTTCTGTGTTTCACGCCATAAATTGCCCTCCCTTCTCAAAGATGGGACATGGGCCCCTTCCTGGGGTCTGCAACTCCTGGCTTCTTTCCCATCTCTAGGCTTCTGGTGTGCCTCAGAAAGTCATGCCACCTAGGCACAAGCAAGAAGCTCACAGATTGAGCTTTTCCACCTGAAAGCAGCTTTCTCAGGATAAACCACCAAAAGGAAGAAATGCTCTACAATTGCAGTTATAAAAACATTCTTTAAGTTTAACAGCATCTATCCTGCTCTCCTTCAGCACTTTAACATATCTGATTTGATGCTGCACATTATTTTTGTTATGAAACTAGAACAAACCAAAATCAATATGGTGCTCATTAAATGGACAAAACATGGGGTAGCTCATAGGTCTCAAAAAGCAAATGTTAAGTGGGAATCACCGCCCAGTTGAGTATTTCTAGTAGGGTTCTGTAACATGTAGAATAACACTGAATATCTATCATTCAGGTCAGGTTTAAAAAACCCAACAAATGAAACACAACTCTGTTTATCAAGTGCACAAGTGGCAAAGTCTAGAGAAGTGATAAATAATGAAGAAGAAGATGACTGATGGGGAGACCTGGATCGCTTGGCAAGTTGGGTGCAAACAAAGAAAAGATAAATGAGATAAAAGGGCAAATAAACACTCCAGAAACAAATGTAGCCTTTGCTTTCTAGAAGGAAGACTATTCCTGGAAGAAGCTCTCCTGAGAGGTTTTGGGGGTCCTTGTGATTAGCACTAAGCATGACCCAATTGCGACACCGATGAAAAGAAAATATGCATTCCTCAACAAGGGAAGATCAAGAGCTGTAATAGTCCTCATTGCCACATCAGGATGGTGTCCTCAACACAGAAGGAGTTCAGCTGAATTGAAGTCAGTGAAGAATCAAAATGCTAATTTGGGGCTGGAAAACCTTCTGGAGCTCATTTTTTCGGCTTAGCACAGACAGGGTTAAGGATACTTCCAGAGCAAGTGCTGCACAGGTAAATGCACAGAACTTAAGCAAGGTACAAAAATTATGGCATGATAGTAAATATAGTTAACTCTGTCCTCACTGATCACTTTCCACCTTTCCAAAGGCTGTTTATACTGTCTTTTCCCCTTCAGATGTGTTCCACCCTTGCCCAAGCTCCTCTTCACTTATGTTCTGGGGACACGTTCCACCTAACCCGGTGTGGACCTGTGACTGCTGCCTGCGTGGCGTAACTTCAGCTGAGACATTTCACGTGTGCCCTGGAGAATTTCAGCTCAAACAGGAGCAAAAAATCCTCCTGTGGGCAGGATGCTCTTGTACACTGCCTGGCTGAAAGGCAAGGTGGCAGCTCCCACATGGCAGCTAGTAGACTAATTTCTTCTATTTGGCTCAGTGCTTAATCTCTCATCTTTAGAAGGAGAAACTTGTTTGTTCAAGCTCACTAAGAAAATATTTACTGAATATTTTCAGGAATATGTTTTACATTGAAACACATGAAGTATCTGATCACTGAGACTTATCTAGCCTGCCTCTGGACACCACAAGGTTAGATGGCATTTTACCTCCCTGTCTTAAAACAGTGTTTGTTTTCTTTTGCTTCAGATGAGTTTGCTGGTTGAGGTTGCATAGGAAATGCTATCAGTGCTTTAGAAAAAAAAAACCAAAAACCACACACATTAGCTGGAGATCAAGTGCATTCTTCCAAAGGAAAAACAAAGCAAAACTCAAGAGTGTTTTACAGTGTGACCCTCATAAGAATGTTTGCATTAGGCCTGCTATCTTATTAAAATTCATTTGTGTTTATATAAGGTATTTTGTACAAAACCCCCATACACACCAGGCAAAAAATCCCATGTGTTGTTCTATATTGCAGACACACACTGACAGGGTAGTTCTAACTAAGAGTTAGTGATGGTCTCTGCAGGCTTCCTCATGAAGAAAATTTTTTTGAAGTTGATCTGTAATTTTGGAGTGTTTTGCTCTGTTTACTCAGGGAAGAGACAAGAGCCCCTTGGGAGGAAACTTACTCAATATAAGCACTGGAAAATATCTAAAATCTATCACTGAAAAAAACAAAAAAGGTAAAGGTTTGCTCAGGTGTCAGTCAATATGCAGGAGTATAACATCAATGATATGCGTGAAGAATTAACAGTCTTTTCCTAATTTTCTCAGCAAGCACTGTTTGTTCTTGTTGTTCATAAGAATAAAGAGTTAAGTCATGCCCTCCTCTTTCTACCTTGACCTAAATAGAGGATTCCACCTAAAAAATATATTAAGTGCAAATAACAAGCCATGCTTAGACAGAGGAAGAAGAAACTCCACCCTCTCCTGGGCAGGGCTGACCGTGCACGAGTTTTCGTAGCAGAGATTTAGAAAGACAAACAACTGGCTTTGGGAAGAGCCCACGGTACGTCCCTCTATTTACCTCAGGTAATCTCTGCGGCAAAGGATGAGATTTGCTTTTGTGTAAAGAGTTGATCCAACCTCTCCAAGCCGACAGTCGCAGCAGGCACACTTGAGACAGTCTTCATGCCAATACTTATCCAGAGCCTTCAGCAGGTACCGGTCCTTGATCTTCCGGTTGCAGCCGGCGCAGCCCTTCTGCTTGCCTTTGGGTTGCACGGATAGCATGGGCACACCTGCAACACACACAAAGCACTTGGTTTAGAAGATGATCCCCACCTCGAGTACTGTGTCCAGTTTTGGGCCCCCTACCACAAAAAAAAGACATTGAGGTGCTGGAGCGGGTCCAGAGAAGGGCAACGAAGCTGGTGAGGGGTCTGGAGCACAAGTCTTATGAGGAGAGGCTGAGGGAGCTGGGGTTATTCAGCCTGGAGAAGAGGAGGCTGAGGGGAGACCTTATTGCTCTCTACAACTCCCTGAAAGGAGGGTGTAGAGAGGTGGGGGTTGGTCTCTTCTCCCAAGTCACAGATGATAGGACAAGGGGTAATGGCTTCCTGGTTTATGGTGGGGTGCTGTGTGGGTGGGTGATGGTTTTTGGTTTGGTGGTTGTTGTTGTTTGTTTAGGTGGTGGGTGGTGGTTTGTGTGGTGGGTTTTTGGGGTTTTTTTTTTGGTTTTGTTTTTGGTTTTGTTTTTGTTTTTGTTTTTGTTTTTGTTTTTTTTTGTTGGTTGGACTCGATGATCTCTGAGGTCCCTTCCAACCACTACGATTCTGTGATTCTGTGAACCTGTGGAAGGGAGATACAGCAGCACGGCTGCTCTTTTAAAGGTTATTTATAGTAGAGCTACCAGATCTTTTTTTACTGCCCTCTCTGGCTCAGGAGCGTAAGTTGCAATGTTTTCTTCTCATATTTTTCTGATTCTTCTTCATGTGGGACTTGAGAAAATGAGTAACTAGAGCAATTGATACTTGCATTATACAAAAAAATGTTTTGCTTATGTGAGGGCAGTGTCTGATTGTAAAAACTGATAAGAGACTATAGAGCATTTATTTTAGAAGGGTTTGATATTCTTTCCCATCTATGCATCATATGCTGGTAACTTTACTTCCATTTTTCCCCTCTTTTTTTTTTTTTTTTTTTGGTTTTTTTTTTTTTTGTTTGGTTGGGTTTTTTTGTTTTTGGTTTTGGTTTTGGTTTTTTTTTTGGTGTTGGTTGGACTCGATGATCTCTGAGGTCCCTTCCAACCACTACGATTCTGTGATTCTGTGATTCTATGATACCCAAACGGCTTCAACGGGTTGCCTGCATTTGGGCTAGATTTGTCAGCAGGTACTTCTATTTTTTTTGGAGTCCACATTGCAAGAAGCTGACAGCCAGAGGAATTCAAAATTCATTTGCTGTTGTGGGGTAATTTGGGAGTGTGACACTCACAGGAACTGATACAAAGCACCAGACTTTTTAAAAATTAACATCTTGCAGCAGTATAAACCGGCTGCCATTTCAACATTTGCCTTTTCCCCTCATTACCAGCACCCTCGTGTTGTTAATTACCTGCCACAGGCAATTACAACGATCAGAGAGGCCACCACTGTATGCACCCCTGCACCCCCAGTCCAACCCTCTTGGCTGGATCAAGCTTGATAGGGAAAGGAGAGTAGTGGGTATAAAAAGACGTGGTACACCGCTGTTTTTCCTCTCTTGTGAATCCTGCTAGTCACAGTGACAGCTAAAATAAATGTCATTCAAAAGCCCTTGATAACTGCTGAGAATAACCCAACCAGTGCCTCTCTGCCACCAGTGAAGCCAGGCTCCTTAAGCAAAACTGGGGTTTCCTTCTCCTCTTGTACCGCTGGAGAAGGTATTAAAAAGCCAGGATGTTTTACTCCCTGGAAAGCCCTGCTGGGAGTGCAAAGCAAGTGAGTAGCTGGAAGTTGTGGCTGCCCCATCCCTGGAGGGGTTCAAGGCCAGGCTGGATGGGGCCTTGAGCAACCTGGTCTGGTGGGAGGTGTCCCTGCCCATGGCAGGGGGGTTGGAACTCGATGATCTTTGAGGTCCCTTCCAACCCAAACCATTCTATGATTCTATGTGTTGATGGCAGGACACTCAAGTCACTAGGCTGGTGGAGACTTGCCATGGCTACCTTCCTCCCACTGCCATCCCCAGTTTTTTCCTCTCCTCCAAGCAGCTGGTGCCCCCCATGAGGAGCACTCACATGGGCGTGAGACCCAGTGCCCTTCTCCTGTTTAAGAGGGAGGAAGGGGAGGATTTTAAGAAATCACAGAATCATAGAATCATCTAGGTTGGAAGGGACCTTCAAGATCATCTAGTCCAACCATCAACCTCTGACAAAGAAACCACCGCTAAACCATGTCCCCCAGCACCATGTCAACCCATCTTTTGAACACCTCCAGGGATGGTGCCTAGGAAGCAACAGGCAAGGTGGAAAAATAAACAAGCATTGTACTGTGGGGGAGGAAGGGGACAGGAGATGATGAAAGAAGAAATGATACCAGAATCCCATTCTCTCTAGAGCCTTGATTTTACTTTGTTACCGATTTTTATTTTTATTAGTGTCAATCACTAAAATGACAATGCTGGGCCTGTGACGACCAAGCTGTGGGCTTAACC